ACGCCTGTCTGCCCTGTGCACGGGCCACCGAGCCCAGTCCGTACCTCCTCCCTGCGCCCGCGTCCCCCTTCCGCAGGCCCACTGCCCCCACAGAGCTTCCCTGGACGCGACCGCGGATTCCTTCGTGGCTAAGCTCTGGGGGACCACGTCTTCCGGCTCTCCTTCCCGCGTCCCGCCCTCGGGCCTGGGGCCGGCAGGGAAGGGGCTGCCCCCTGGACACACAGGCTGGCGGTCGCGTGGCTTGTGTTTCCGCACAGCATGCTGAGCCGCCCCGCCTCCCCTGTGTCCCGCAGCACTGCTTCATGATGCCCCAGTCCCTGGGCGTGATCGGAGGCAAGCCCAACAGCGCCCATTACTTCATCGGCTACGTCGGTGAGTGGTGGGTGTGCGGGATGCTCAGGCGGGCCCGAAGCTGACTAAGAGGGGGCAGGCTGCACGTCCTTAGGGCGTCGGCTCGAGCCGGGTGTCCCGTTCCCGCGGGTGGTCCGTGTCCCCTCTTGGCCGGTGCCGGCCTCCCCAGTGGGCTGGTTCCCGCCCCGTCTGCGGCCCACCGGCTCTCCCGGCCTGATACACCCAGCCAGTTGGGTCTCGGTGCAGCGGGTCTGAATTGGGACCCCGGGCCGCTCCCCGTCTGCTGACTTCTGTCCTCTGACGCAGGCGAGGAGCTCATCTACCTGGACCCGCACACGACACAGCCCGCGGTGGAGTTTGCGGACAGCTGCTTCATCCCGGACGAGAGCTTCCACTGCCAGCACCCTCCAAGCAGGATGGGCGTCAGGGAGCTCGACCCGTCCATTGCCGTGGTGCGCCCCCACCCCGTTCCGCCTTCTCCGGCCACGTGGGCTGGTGTTACGAGTCGTCCTGTGCTCAGTCCCGCTGTTTTAGAATGGAAGTTTCGGAAAGGCTTCAGATTCTCGTGATTTTTGTTTTTTTCCCCAACGTGTTGGTTTAGAATGCAAAGGGCACAAAAGGGTTAACGGTGTCCACGAGCTACTCACACCCACCAGAGGCCGTCATCCTGCGTGGCCCTGCGCGGCCCTCACGGCCTCGGTGTGAGAGCGCAGTGAGAGTGAGTGAGCTCCTGTAACACAGCGGCGGCAGCGGCGGCCTGCCCAGCCCACTGCCCTACACCACCTCTGTGGGCTTTTTGGGTTGACTTTTAAGTTTCTTGACTTCTGTGCCTGTGAGATCGTCCTTAAGAATCAGTTTCCTTCTCTCTTGATTCCAAGGCTGGGATCTGGGGTGGTGATTTCTCTGAACTTGCGTGCCCTCAAAATGTACTTGATGGGGAACGAGGCCCAAGATGCCTGCAAGTAATGATGTCCCTCGGGGGGTGACTGAGTCACAGATGAGGCAGATCGGTCCTGAAACAGACATCTGGACGCAGGGTCTGTGGGTCTTGTGTCATGTCCTGAGGTTGGTGGCCCCGGGGAGGATGCCTGAGGGTGGCGGGACGTGGCTGGAGCGTGGAGGGTTGAGTTCCCGTCTGGCTAGCGCGAAGTACGCAGCTGCGCAAGGTGCTCGGTACCCGAGCCACCTGGACAGCCAGCTCCGCGGACGCCGTGTCCTCGCCTGATAGGAAGGGTGCTGCACGTGGGCTCCTTAGGAGAAACTAGACTGTTTCCCTGCAGGGCGCTGCCCGTGCTCCTGTTCGTGGTAAAAACCTGTGATTCTGCTGGCGCCTAGAGTTTCTCGTAACTCGTCAGCAGGGTTGGCGCTCTGTGCACGTGGCTGTAACAGTGCGCCGTCCTCACTGGCTCCGTGGGACCCAGGGCTCCTCGCGTCGAGGTGCCGCTGGGCGGGGGAGGCCCACTTGGGCCGCACGTGGTGGGTCCCAGGGGCCTTCGCTGCCAGCCAGGCCGTTAAAATGTGCACGGCCTCTGTGTCTGGTTAGTTGGGGCAGAGCCTCCAGAGGAGGGTGGACGCCACTTCGCGGTCCACACGGCGTCTGAGGGGGCCCCGCTCTCGTGCCTTGCCGCGTGCTGCTCACCGTTGTTTCTCTCGCAGGGGTTTTTCTGTCAGACCGAGGAGGACTTTGACGACTGGTGCCGGCGCGTCAGAAAGGTGGGTAGCGGGTCCCCCGCCTGCGGGGCAGCGGGGAAGGCCGTCTCCGGTTTGGGGTCCCACCTCGCAGCGTGCCGTGGCCCTCGCGTGGTCGTGGCTGTGGCGTCGGCCTCGGACCTTGCTCGTGCGCCTCGGTTTCTGGCTCGCCGCTGTCGTGTCGGTGAAGGGAGGCGGTAAGTGGGATTTGCCCCCGAGGCTGCTCGCTAGCCTCACGCTTGCCGCCCCCCCGTGTGGCCGGAGACCTGATGACACGTGGATGCCCGAGGGGCGGCGGCACCTGCCTCAGCAGAGGGTCGGGAGCCTCTTGTGCGGGGGCTGCCGCCCCTTTCTTGTCCCCGGTTCCCTCTGCCTGGTGAGCGGGGGCGCTGGGGCCGTGTCTGACGGCCGGCCGTGTCTGCTGACAGCTGTCGCTGCTCGGGGGCGCCCTGCCCATGTTCGAGCTGGTGGAACAGCAGCCTTCCCACCTGGCCTGCCCCGACGTCCTGAACCTGTCCTTAGGTGAGTGTGGGGGGCCACGGGGCCACGTGTCAGGTGCGCCGTCCTGTGGTCTGTGTGACGTTCTGTCCCCGTCTCTCTGCTTCTCCGGTTGCCTTTGGCCTTTAAGATTTGTATGACCCTAGGGGCGCCTGGGTGGCGCAGTCGGTTAAGCGTCCGACTTCAGCCAGGTCACGATCTCGCGGTCCGTGAGTTCGAGCCCCGCGTCGGGCTCTGGGCTGATGGCTCAGAGCCTGGAGCCTGTTTCCGATTCTGTGTCTCCCTCTCTCTCTGCCCCTCCCCCGTTCATGCTCTGTCTCTCTCTGTCCCAAAAATAAATAAACGTTAAAAATCATTTAAA